ACATGTGATGGCCTGGCCCCTGGCCAGTGTTGCTCAGTGGTTGAGCATCAACCCATGAACCAGGAGGTCACAGTTTTTTTGTTGTCTTTTTAAAAATATATTTTATTGCCCTAAGTGGTTTGGCTCAGTGGATAGAGTGTCGGCCTGCGGACTGAAGGGTCTCGGGTTCGATTCCGGTCAAGGGCATGTACCTTGGTTGCGGGCACATCCCCGGTGGGGAGTGTGCAGGAGGCAGCTGATCAATGTTTCTCTCTCATCGATGTTTCTAACTCTCTATCCCTCTAGAAACTTCGATCAGCTGCCTCCTGCATATCCCCCACTGGAGATGTGTCCGCAACCAAGGTACATGCCCTTGACCGGAATCGAACCCGGGACCCTTCAGTCCGCAGGCCGACGCTCTATCCACTGAGCCAAACCCGTCAGGGCGTGGAGGTCACAGTTTGATTCTAGATCAGGGCACATGCCCGGGCTACGTGCAGGAGGCAACTGATCAATGCTATTTTTTATTTTTATTGATTTCAGAGAGAGGAAGGGAGAAGGAGCGATGAGAGAGAATCACTGATCGGCTGCCTCTTGCGCACCCCCTCCTGGGGATTGAGCCTGCAACCCGGGCATGTGCCCTTGACTGGAATTGAACCTGGGACTCTTCAGTCCGCAGGCCGACGCTCTATCCATTGAGCCAAACCAGCTAGGGCTCGCCTTCATTTTCAATCTTCTATCAGTTAACATCTTTTCCCCCATTTTTTCTTTGTCTCTCCCAACTCTCTCATTTCTTTTTTTGTAAATCCTTAGTGAGGATATGTTTTTATTGATGAGAGAGAGGGAGAGAGAGAGAGAAACAGCGATTGGTTCCTTCTGTGCACACCCTGACCGGGGCTCCTTATTTCTTTTTTCTTTTTTTTTGTCTCCTCTTCTACTTCCCCATATCTTCGCCACATTTTTTATATCTAGATCTGACTTGCTTCCCTTAATCCTGCTTTTCCTGGGATTTAAATCCCTAGACTGGTCCCTGAGAAGCATCAGAGACAAGGCGGCTGAAGGCGAGCAGGAGTGTGCCTTTGCTGGAGTGGCAGCACAGACCCAGGCATGGGCCCCAGCCCTGCACTTCACCTGCACTGACGTCTCATCTGTCCGCAGCCTGTGCTTCCTGCACATTTCCTTCTTTCTTCTCGGCACCTTTCTCTGCTTTCCCCTCTCCCTGACCTCCTCGTCCCTGGTTCCCCTTTTACCGTCCAGATCAGTCTTCTCCGCTGCCAGCTATGGCTTCTGCTCCTTTCTGCTCATCAATAACTGGTTCTTAATGTTCAGACCTCAGTTCTTCATCTGCTCCCCTTTAGTGAGATAGGGGAAGCCGTTTACCAAATGGTTCTCTCCTTTGTGATTGCTCCCCAACATGTGTTCTTGGCCACTGGGAGCAGACCCTCATTTCATTCATTCAACACATTTATTGAGTGCCCACTCCTAGCCTGGGTGCTGGGGACACAGAGGTAAGCAAGGTGACTTTCTGTCCTCAAGGTTGAAGTACAGGGAAGAAATGATAACAATATACTCTTGGGGACACGTGACTTTCTGGAGGAAAGCCAAGCAAGGTTTCACAGAGGGGGTGAGCCTTTTTTTGAAGGATGAAAGGAGTCCTGTGGTATTCCAGACTGAGGGGTTATTAGTATGACAAAGACACCAAGGAATGACAAAGCACCGTGTGTTCTGGGCACAGGAAGTAGTTAGGTATTGAGTGGAGAAGATAGAAAGTGAGGAAGAGACAGGAGAGGAGAGACAAGGAGTTTTGTTTACTCTAAAAAGGGTTTTGAACTTGACAGTGGGGGCAACCAAGAGCCAGTGACTTTTGGGGCTCGAGTGATGAGGCTGAACTGTTTTGTATTACACCCTACCCTCCGTGTAAGGGGAAAGGGGAATCAGGAGTACCAGGCAGGGCGATGGTGGTCTGGACCAAACTGGCAGCAGAACAGGTGAAGAAAATCAGATAATTGTGAGTTTCCAAGGTCCAGACACCAATGTTGGTAACTGGATAAAGGGAGCTGCAGGAGAGACGAAGTTAAATATGACTTCCGAGATTCTTTTTTTTTTTTTTATCCTCAGCCGAGGATAATTTGTTTTTCCATTCATCTTTAGAGAGAGTGGAAGGGAGAACCACGATGTGAGAGAGACACATGGATTGGTTGCCTCCCACATGCCTCCCACCAGGGCCAGGAGCCTGCCAGCGAGGTATGTGCCCTTGCCCGGAATAGAACCCAGGACCCTTCAGTTCGCAGGCCGATGCTCTATCCACTGAGCCTAACCGGCTAGAGACTTCCAAGGGTCTGGTAGGGGTGACAGGGTTGCTATTGAGACCATTCCCTGGGACGGGGGAGTTAGGAGGAGCCGGTTTGGATTCCGTCCAGGCAGTAGCTGAACATTCGGAGCTGGAGTTCCAGAAAGAGGCCTGCGCTGGACGCAGCAGACGCCCTAGGAAGGCAGCAGGGCCGGGGACAATGGGCCGGAGACTCCGCCGGCCAGATCCACAAGCGCGTCCCCGCTCTCCCTCCAGGTGGCACTGCTGCCCCGCGCGCCTGAGCCGGTTTCCCGAGCCGCGTGCGTTCGGTTTTCACCCCTCGGTCCGCTTTTCTCGGGACAAGCCCCCTCTAGGTCGCGACCTCCCCGCGGGGCCGGAGCGAGCTGGGGATTCAAACCAGGAACGGCCTCCAGAGAGAGTGTCCAAGTTGCCCACGCGACCAGCACATGCGTGGGGGCGCAGGGACCTCAGCGTGGCGTGGTTGCTGTGACCACCTGTCCCTCGGGCTGCTTCCAGGAACCGACGTGGGGACCGGGGGCAGGGAAAGGGCCAGATAGGCTGTGCCGGGAGCAGGGACGCATGGAAAGAGGACCCCCCGACACGCTAGGAACGGAATTCCCCGTCCTCCATGGCCACCCCCGCGTGGGAAACATGTCGCGGACCCTTTAAGGCTCCATCTCCCTGCCCTCCCCAGCCCAGGACAAGCCGGGACACCCGGGACTTGACATTTGGCTTCTCCCAACGTGGGAGCTAAAAATAATCGCAGTGGGTTACTTTAGGCCATTGCTTCTCAGGCACCGCGCGCGGGCTCGCACGCTCTCCGGCCGCCCGAGTGCCCTCCCGGGCGAGGATACCTGGCCCCTTCCCTCCTCTCGAACCCGCGGTCCCAACTGGCGGCGCCAGACTTTCCAGTCGCCTCTCCAGCCCCCAGACCTCGGCTGGTGGGAGGAGTCTTCACGCAAGGGGGCGGGGCCTCCTCCAACCTGGAGGGAACCCGAGGGGCGTGTCCGGCCGGCACGCTGTGGGGTGTGGCCTGGCTGACAATCCGCTAGCAGGTGCCAAGCTCTTAAACCCTTCGCTTAGGGGGCGTGGCCTCCCGGGGTGTGCGGGATCCTGGCCAATGGGTGCTGTGAAGGGCGTGGCCCTTGGCGAGGTGGGGGCGCTCCTCGGGTCTTTTCCCTCGAGCCCGGTCCTGCCAGATCCCCGGAGCCC